AGAAGGTTTCCCTCCAGTTGCAAAAATGTGCGTATTGCTTGCACCTTGCAGTTATTTCTTATTAAATTCTGCGAATTCACACATGACTACGCATAACAAATATCGGAAGTGAACGAAAGTTTCCCTATCGCTCGGGAAATCTGCAAACTACTTGCACTTTGCACATTGCAGATACTTCGTATTAAATTCTGCGAATTCACACATTCTATCATTTGTTTTTTATGATGACATGTGCCATGTAATTAAACATATTATAGAGATATAGAGAGAGAAACTTTCTTCAACTTCGGATAATTATCGTGGCTGACCATTTACGAATTCACACATTTTCATACGAATTGATTGCAATGTGCAAAGTGCACGCTATTTACAGATTTTTTGACCTAAAGGAAAATGTTTTTCGATTTTGATCTACTTTAATAGCAATGAACTTGTGAATTCTCACATTTTCATACGAATTGTTTGCAAAGTACAAAGAACAAGCAATTTGCAGATTTCTCGATGTAGAAATGAAGACTTCTGATAGTTCGCATAGCTACTCACCTGCAACTTTGCACTTTTAACGTACGAAGTAATTGCAATGTGCAATTAGTAAAACAGACACAGTCTACCCACTACTTCTTACGAAATCGCACATACGCCTAGCAATTTGGCCTATCCGCTTTAGGTGAATTCATGCGTCAACAGCGAAGTGCATTTGCGAATTCGTAAAACGCTGTGAATTAACAGTAACATCTAGCTTTTGAAATTCCTGCGATTCGTCCACGCTCTGCAAGGTGCATTTACGAATTGTCTAATTTTATCATACACTTCGCATTTGCGAATCCTTCGAACATGAAAATTATTGAGTAGTATAAAACTTGGATTTAGCAATGTGCATTTACGAAATTCGTAAAATGCTCTCAACAATGTGTATTTACGAACTGACCGGATCAGACGAACTGGAGTGTTTTCATTTCATGGTATGAAAGTGTTAAAACAACAGTTTGCACGGTGCGAAGTGCATTTCGTTTTTGAACACCTTGGCCGCACAATTGAAATAACTTGGATGTTAATAGCTCAGATTTTAATATTGCATTTATAAAATATATTTGCATTTTTGAAATCTTTATTGTTAAAAATTTTGGATCTTCCTGTATCAGATTATTCCATTCTTTGGTTACTACAGTAAAAAAATCGTCATCAGTACTATCTACCGGATCAACTGCAGATTTTTGATTATTATGTAAACTATATCTTTCATGAGGCTGATGGAGTTGTAAATGAACAGTAAGGTATTGAAGAGTAAAACCTTTTACTATTTTTGCAAAAGAGTAGCAAACGAAGTATTCTAAAATGATCTTTTATTGTGATCCAACCTAAAATATCAAATAATAATAATAAGCTTTTCTTGTAAATTCTATAACTTTGCAAAGAAAGGTCGTGTAGAGCTGGAAGATATCTCACTTTAATCAGAAATTTGCGATCTACAGTCGTGCTTCATTAAGAAAGGTTTGGGTTATTTTTTAGAGTTTCTGAAAAACTGGTTTTGGGGAAAACCGGATCTTCAGGAGCCATGAAGGTAAATCCTTTTAGGGTTTTTACTAGCTCGCTATGCTCTATCGATTGACATGCAAATCATTGGAAGCGGAGGTGGGCATGTCCATAGGTTCTCTCGTAAGTTGATAGTTAAGCTCATGCTTTTCAACTTGCTATGTAAAAAATCGGTGCACATACACCACAACTTTATGGATCTGTTAACTACGCCATTCTATTCAATATGGCAAGATATATTTTCTTTAACAAATAATATCCTTCTAGTAGCGTAGCTATACATGCTTCTTTTCATTATTGTTTTAGACTTAGAAAGAGCAAAAATGCTCAAATTCAAAACGGCAGGAATCGACCAGAAAATCGTTAATACAAGTTATATGTTTTCTTTGATTTTAGTATTACGAATGCAACTGTCAAAATTTTAACTTCAACTTCAATGGATACCCATGAACATCGTTATAATCCTTCTCCTGCTACGAAAGATTTTGATGATATCAAAGAAATTATTTGGCCTGTTTCAGTCGGCGGTTTTGTCGCATTAGCCTTAGGTTGGATGATTCTTAGATATGCATGTTCTTCAAAAGAACAATCGCCTCACGTAGTACGATGTTGTCCGGAATCTCTATGTACTAGAATAATCTGTGCTAGAAAAAGGCTGAAGTAAACAAGTTGAAGAATCATGAAGATAGTTAACAAAATAGATAAATTTCATTTATTTTTAGAGTAACATCATCCGATGAAAAATTTTCCAATGAAGAAACACTGAGAAAATCAAAGTAAGATATTGTTTTGAATGATAAAGTATGAATAATTTTTTTCTATTTTTTTCAATTTATTAGATTATCTGAAAATAGTAGTAGTATGGATATTGCTGTTGCTTATTCATCCTCTTTACCTCAATCTCAAAATCTCATTGAGCCAATCCCAGCATCCATCCAAAAAGAGAAGAACAATTCTGCCATTCATATTCATTTAATTCCAAAACCAGTACGTCATCCATTGAGACGCGATTCATTACTAAACAATGATCGTCGTGAATCTCTTTGGCCATTTAAAACAAATTTTAATTTTCAACGTCAAACAAGTGAAAACATATTCTTTCATACTTAATTATTACAAATGTTATTTCCTTGTATATATATTGCCAACGTTTTTATTCTTATTGTTGTCGCTCGTTGATCATTGAAATTAACGTAAATTAATACAGCAGGTCTCGAGCTTAATGTAAGAACCGAGAAATTAGCATTTTAATTTTCCTGTCAAGTAGTGGTGCTTTCATCATTCTGTTAAGGTACGGAATGATAAAAGTTAACTTTAAATTCTTTCTCCCACATCTCTCTTTCGGCACAGAACATTTTTTCTGTGCATCGACTCAAAACTTCACTAGTTTTTTTTTTGGTTTTTGCATATTGATCATTTTTGACGAAAACTGAGCTTGAAAATATCTAAGAAAGTAATGCATCTTAAGATATCATCGTCTCAAAATCTACCGATTAAATATAAGTTTTATTTGATCAGAATGAATAGATTTTGAGTTGTTCTGTCAAATCAAAGAAATATTAAGTTCTATGCTGAAAGAGAGATATGAGAAAAGGATTTGATGTTAACAAAAATGGATACAGAATGATGAATGTAGTAGTACTTGACTGGAAAATTAAAAAGCTAAGTTCTCATATAAATCAGGGACCTGCGGTTTTCGCTAAACTTCATAATTTTCAATGTTCTTTATCTTGTATATAGTGTAACCATTGACGGTAACAGTTTTATATATCGTGTTGCGTCTCACTTAGACGTATCCATCTGAACTTCAATTTAAATAAGAATTATAATGATCTAAATATTTTCCTGCACGGGTTAATTAATTTTCGAGATGTGTATAAAGAAAATCTTATCACATTAATAGAAATACTATTATCACTATCTAAAGGAAATAAGTCAAGTGATAGGCCGATGTCGACAGTTCAGTTTAATCTACACCCATAAAAACGTAATGTAACTGTCTGTCTGTATACGTCATGTTTATACAAGAATATTGTTCACAGTAGAAATTAATGCACCATAAGAATAATATACAGATAAAGCATTATTTTTTTGTTTGTTGGATGTTATCATTGAGTAAACTAAACAAATATAAGTTTATCCTTCAACTTATAACGAAAATAATATGACAAACAGAATCGTGTGTCATCTTCCATAAAAAGACAAAAAAGTTCATATCACTGTAAAATAGAAAACAAATTTTTTCCTGTTTTTTTAAATTTTCTTAGATGACTACACAATCCACTTCTTTGATTAATATTGTTGAGAACGATTATCATGAAGGTGATGTAACCCCGAAAGACATTAACATAGAACTTCAACAACCTGAAACTCCAAGCCTCGAAGAACATCCAACAACTTTTTCTAATCTTAAGAATCCATCTCCTAAAGATATTTTAAATCGTTTAATTATATCTTATGAATATCGAGATCATACATTTTGCATGGATTTATCATATTGTACACTGATTATCATGATTCTATGTGCACTCTGTATGATGCTCTATTGGATATTTGAAAATCGATGTAAAAATATTGAAAAATCTGTTTATTGTGATTTTACTATCATTTGGGAAGTTATTGGAATTATTTCTGTCATACTTATACCTGTTTCTCTCATCGTGATGGGTATAGCTTGGTCAAGATATGCTTTCAAGGATAAATATGTAAAACTGCGAAATTGTACTGAAACATGTATTTCTTTAAAATTAGAGAAAAATCAATGGTTAAGATATGTCGAACACATTTACGATTCAAATCGTACAAAAACACCGAAATATGTACAAGGATATTGTTCACTATTTACACGACGACGAGAGAAACAACAATTATTACAACATGATCACGGATATATTATTCTATGTCCAAATGGATCTTTCATTATTGATGAAATGTTTTGTATGGAACATACTCATTCTATTATCCAGGCTGAATTAGTTTTCGTAGAACCTGATTATGTTTTAAAACTTTTTTTAAATGAACGTCGATGTCTTAAGTGTTTGTCTAATCGACCAAAAGTATTTGCAATTGATTTATTCCTACCACCACAATATCAGAATCAACAAAAATTAGAGGAAATTGGGCAAATTCTTAAATTACCTATTCTTAATACCAATGTTCTTGAACAACATCGATACTAGAGGAAAATCAACTTATTCTAGTTTTATTTTTTTTCCTGACAAAATAAAAACTTTTCATACATATTTAATAATACTACTCAAAACTCTGATATACAGTGGTGCTAAAATGTTCCACACAGTTGATAAAGTCAAATTTATACGCTGTCAGAGTACCGAAAAACTATCTCAGTCGATGAGTAGAACGCGACAATCATTTTGCTAAACAAAAAGATTTTCGAATAGCTGGCATCTTTACAGAGAAAAGTCAATTTTAAGTTAAAAGTTATAGAACATGATTCATCAAACAGCCCCTCTGTTTCATTACTATGAAATTTTTCTCTGAAGATACCCATATGAAGTGAAAATAAAAAGTCAACTTTCTTAGCGTCAGACGGAATGAGCTCTCACTATATGTGGAAAATATTGTTTATTCTTACAGATAATAATAACGTTTGAATGAAGTGTCGAGATTATTTCGTTTTTCAAACGTCAGCAGATAGATGTCATTGGTAAAGCGCCATCCATCTGCTGACGTTTGAAAACGAAATAATCTCGACACTTCATTCAAACGTTATTATTATCTGTAAGAATAAACAATATTTTCTACGTATAGTGAGAGCTCATTCCGTCTGACGCTAAGAAAATCTACTTTTTATTTTCATTTCACATATGAATGTGAAAGAGCTAGAGTCGATAGAATTCATTTAGAAGAAATTTATAAAATAAAAGGGATATTCCATCAGATATTGATTTGGTCGTTTGCATATTCTAGTACATTTTACATATCATTCGTAACATTGTATCAAAATAAAAAAGACTTTGACCTCTTATTGTCAAAATAAAACTTAGTAATCAAACGACTAATTCAAATGTTGAACGGATCAAACAGTAAAAAGAATTTCCTCTATGGAAAATTTTGGCCACCAGTGTATATCATATGACCGTTACTACATTAGACCACTGTAAACGTTCCACAATGGTTATTGAAAGAGTTATAAATTTGTTAGCTCAAAAATGCTAAAAAACTCAGTGTGTGACTCAATGATGATCGAAATATTTCAAAAATTTAATCGTTTAGGATATCCCTTTCCTCACCGCTCTTTTTGGACTTTCCATAGAAATGCTGCCAAATAAAAACTAAATATGACTAAGGCTTCATATTTTCAGAACTGATTGATAGCTCATGGAGCATTTTTTCGTTTTTGTTTCAAGTTTTTAGCTATTGCCATTTTTCATTGTGTCACATTACAACACTCCTTAAATTTCATCCGATGGGGTTAAAACTTTCACCAGAAATACCGCAGAGGTATTTTCTGGAAATTTTATTTTAGATCTTTCCTTGTCGAGTTTTAGGAAAAATACTGAAAAACGTCTCAAAAACTAAGTTTTTAAATTTTAGAAACTCTATGATGACAGAAATATATATGAGAAAAAAAATTATTTATTCAATAATCATTTTGTCGTTGATATTTTTTTTAAAGATTAAGAAAATTTTAAATTTTAACCTTAAACGACTGTTTGCTTCTGAAAGATATACAATTTCTATTCCTATTCAGTTCAAATTGAAACATGATTCTTGCCCTTTATTCTCTAAGCTTACTTGTTTCTAATTTTTGTTATTTATCTAAAACAAATTTCATTTAAAACATCTCCAACGTGTTAATTATTAGTGTTCAAAGATTTAATATCGACTGTCAGTGAACGAAAAATGTGTATATATTCAAAATAAAAAATATACAATACGCTATTGTTACACCTACATTAAATAGACCAACAGATTTTGGCATCAAGACAATTTGTTCGCGTTTTTTATAAGAACCATATTCATTTATATTATAAAACTCAAATTGAATTTGCCTATGTAAGAAAAGAACGTTTTTATTACCGATGATGTATTTATACGTAAAATTGTATCTGTATCAGCGATCAGCACGAGCCCGGCTTGGGCCGCAAAGTATTTCGGTTGGGTCGGCCGGGTCAAACTTAGAATTTTTAAACATGCGTGGATTTGTAATTTATGTGTATACTCAGTACCGAGAAATCATAAAAATATAAATATTAGCTTGAGAAATATATTTACATCGCTTAGTCAGCAGAAGCATTACAGATACAAGACGAAAAAACGCAAAGTGGTCGGACCAAATAAAGTCTACGTTTAGTCGGGGCTTGGTCCGGAAACTTTCATCATCGGACCGGGCTGGGCCAAAAATTGTCGACTCGTGCGGATCTCTGATCTGTATGCGGTACTAATACATCAGGTTTGATATACGGACTTGTTATATAACATGAAATGATCAGTCATACGACAGATAGACTTCTCGATACATTTTTTCTCGTCGATGTTACGATTGTCAAGAGGAGACTGTATAATAGCGATATGCTACAATTATTTTAAATTGATCGAGATTCGAATTTGCTTCTATATTATGTTTTAAAAAATAATGGTCTAGTTTTTTTTCTAAAATCAATTTAAATTTATAACGAGTTAAAGCAGACGGTAATTAATCCAAGTAGTTGTCATATTGTATACGCACACATACGATTAGTACTTCTATTAAGAAAATTTTATTGAAAAATACATATACAATATTAAAAAATTTGGACGTTTCCAAATAGCAAAAATAATTATCAAAGAGAAAACGCAGCATTCGAGGCTATAATATCACATATGTGAGTTATAAGTTAAAAAATGAAGTAGGAAAGAGAATTGTCATTGTTTGGTAAGAAAAATATCTAGTTGTGGGCCACCTTCTCGTACGGGATTTGGTAAACATAAATTATCGCCAATAAAACGATAACATAATAATCTAAAATGAAAAAAGAAAATCATTCCAAATTAATATGTCATGTGTAGTAAATCGAAAATAATAAAAATATATCTTTTTTTTACCGTTCTTTTATTGTTTGACAAACGGCAACACCCGAATCACGAAGTAAATCACGATAAAAATCATTCGATAATATAATTCCACGTCTCATCACCGCCAAATCAACGACTAACCTTAAGACAAAACTATATTTATGTTTTCTAGTAAAATTTTTATTAACAAATTATATACCTATCATCATAAAATCTGACTATTTTACCAGCAATCTTTTGATGAAATGATGGTTGAACAATCTTTCGTCGAATTAAAGCATTTAAATAATTATGTGGATCTTTTTTCATGTAATGTGGTGGTAGAATGACAACAATTTTCGAATCGGGATAACCATATGCATGAAATAAATCAACAGCTAATTTTATACCTTTGGAAGAGAATTCAGAATTTCCATAACTAAAACATATAATCAATTACTAATTATAAGTAAACAAATCGACACTTCAACAGTTGATTGTAACTAACACAAAAATATATTTTAAGATGAAATTTCTATTAAAAATGGTGAACATCACATATAATCTCTTTTTTATCATCAAAATTGAATATCTTAAACATATAAAGATTTCACATACGTTCTTCCAACATTTGCACCATCGATTATAACATCTCGAAGATTTTTTCCTTGTAAACTGTTTTTTATCTCTTCTACAAGTTCATTATCATTACTAGAAAACATATTATTTTCATACACTATATTAAGATTAATTAGTCATAATTTACATATTATTTGTTATATGACGTTCTACTTTTTTATTTGAATGATGAGGATTTTTCTTAACAAATTGTTCAAAACCAACAGTGTATGGTTCAGCTCTAAATAAAAGATGTTCAAACAAGTGAAGTGACACTTCTTTAGGAATGTAAACAGAAAAATATACACAAAACATTTTTATGATGGAGATATAATATCATACTACTCATGCTGTTCGATTTTAATGATAGTCATATAAAACGAGTGTTTATGAGATGAATATTTTCTCATGCAATCCAAAATAAAAAAATGTCAGATCGTCTACATACGCTCCTGGTATGTGTGTTTTTAATTTTGGCTGTTTTGGTTTATAATTTTTATCGTCTCGTTGTTGTACACCTGCTCCTGGTGAACGAATTATTTGTGTTTGATCTTCTTCATCTTCCTCTTCTTCTTCCTCTTCTTCTTCATTATCATCTTGTTGATCGTTTGAACAGACCAGTGATCCTTTTGCTGCTGACGCTGATAGTTCATTATCGAATTGTTTAGCTAAATTTACTAAAATATTATCTATATCTGTATCCTTATCGGATAGTAATGATTTATTTGTTTCGTGAAAGGCATTAACAGCCATATATAGTAGAGGTAAAGTGGAGCTTTGAAATAAAAGTTCATGTTTAATATTATCACATTCAATATGTACAACATATTCTGTCATTAAACGATTTAACAGTTCTTTATCGCATAATATTTCAGAATGTTTTTGTGAATATTTGATCGGCTGTTTATTGATAGGATGTATATATGACGAGATATATTGCTAAATGAGAAAGAAAAAACAAGTTTAATCCAAATATAACATCGTCATTTCATACAAATACAACGAGATAATAATTCTTTACCTTTGTTTGTTCAACTGCTTTTGCATCATCTGAACATAATGTAATATATATGTTTGAATCACTATTAATCGCTAAAAAAAGCTAACTAATATTGAGCGGTAAATTGAATAAACGCGAATATGAACTTACGTAAACGATATTTTAGATGTGTTTTAAATTGTTGGATGATAAATTCTTCTCGAGTTAATAAAGGCCAAAATTCATTTTGTGTGATTTTTATTTCATGATTTGTAGAGGATTCAGACATGTCTGTCTATTATCTAGACGAAAACTACAGGATATAAACCTTGAATGACTTTTAATCGGTATGGTATCGTACAAAAGAAGTCTAAATTATGTAAAAGCTATCATTATAAATATCTAAGTTGTAAGTTAATTAATTGTGGTGAAAAATCGAAGTTTAACAGTTCACCAGAATTAAATTTGAGAGTGAACAAGGACTTTTACTATAAAAGTTAAGAAACAAGAAAAAACTATGTTTCTTAGCTTACCAGAAGTCTTCATTTATTATTAGGTGAAATTATGAATAGATTAACATTATAGACTATTCTGTCGGTTTCCTATCGAGGAGAGCCATATGTTTTATATAAAATGCAATTTATTCAACTCTTGTTCTGCTATAATAGCCCTTCATTAACTGCATCATCGTGGAGTTTCACTCATAAAATAAAAATAGCTTAAAAGATCCCGTTAGATTTCTTTTGTCCTGCCTATATCACATTCTTGCCATATCCAACTACAGATTTCAGGCAGTAACACGAATACACAACAACTGTATAATCAAGAGAGAAGTCTGACTCCAGCATAGATATCGATCATTTTTCAGTTTTAGCAGCGCTGTTGGTCCGTGATAATCTTTAGCTTTTTCCCCTTGTCTTAAGCATCAACAAAGATAACAGAATAGTTCAGGATTCTGATATTAAATAGACAAGACCCGAAAGCTAATCTAGTTGTTATATTATGTTTTATAATGTTAATTTTGTTATAACTCAGTCAACGTAAATTCATTAGTCAAAAAATTTGGTCCACATATTCAACTCAACGAACTGAATTGATCAGAATTAATTTTAGAGAAAAAGATTGTTTAGCTAGAGAATCGAGTCTCCAAAGGTCTAACGACGGAACCGTTTTAAATGATTCACCCCGATTTAATCAAAACATACTTTTTCATGAGTTATTTTTAGATGCTGATTACGAATCTGATATTGAATTCGGCTCATATGGCTTTCTAGTATGGATCTCCAGCAACCAGGTCTCTGGAGATCCACCCCGGATAGTTGAATGAAGAGATTCGGATATGGCCAGTTTGTAGAACAAGTCAAGTTACACAGGTACACAAGTTTCCAGACGTACAAACACGTTCTCTCACAGATGCAAAATTTTTACTATCATCGCTCGTGGAAATTATAGACATTTCTTACATTAAAAATTTTATATCTCTGAGAGAACTTGTTTCGTATTTCTGGAAACTTGTGTACCTGTGTAACTTGACTTGTTCTACAAACTGGTCATATCCGAATCTCTTCGTTCAACTATCCGGGGTTAGGCACTTGAGAAACTTCCCTCGTATGTGTAAGAAATAATTGCAGAGAAATAATATTCTGTTAAATATTTTTATTTTGCAATACATGTCTCGATCTGAAAACCAACAATGAGCCAAACGTGTTAGAAGAGGTAGCAAAAATCAGAATAATTTACACTATTAGTCTAAAAGAAAAATGTCATCAAAAAGAAAAATGGGAAGGAACGCAAAATACAAAACATCCTGAGCTTAACATTCGTAACACACACTATCATTATTCAGGAAGAATAGTAAAAAGCTATTTAATTCAAATCGCTATCAGAAATAAGTCGTATAAAAAGAGAGCCCATTGGCAGAAGAAAACAAGGTAAGAAAAACAAACGTGCACACATCAAAAAGAGATTTTTTCTAAAAAAACATTTGATTAAAAAATGTAGGTAGCATTTTTCTTGTTATCTGAACAGTGAAGAGAGAATAAATAAACACGCACATAAAGCGCAACTTTTAACAACTGGTTGATGCCATTGAGCCCGGTCGAACACGAGGATACAACTAAAACGAAACAAATAAACAAGATAAAAGTTGAAAAGTAAACATACAACGCAGTAGAGAACTGGCATGAAAGAAAAATCTCAGTTCAAACTTAATGAAATAGAATTTTACCTCTAACATTAAGATTAATTAAAAGAGTTACATCAAAATCCTTCCAGCAAATTCAATAATTATCACTTGTATTGACTTACTCCTAGATAATTCCTTGGCACATAGCCTTCTTGTTCATTTTGTTGATGTTTTGCCCACCACCATTCCGATTCATTTTCATCTCCTCGTCTCAAAATAATCAATTGATCACCATCTTTAAATGTCAGTTCATTTGAATTATCTTCGTCTTGTAACGGAGAGGATTCATAATCGTACAATGCACTGACAACACCATCATTCATTAAACCTAAATTATCTTGAATATCTAAACAACAGAGACAAATATACAGAAATGTAAACATCAGAATACAGTTACAAAAAAAAAGATTTTGATCTTACATAACAAATATTGTGAACATGAAACATAATTTTCTTCTTCCTCTTCACATTTTTCAGCTGCTGTTTCATTATCTCTTAATGTCGTTGCAAATATACATGCACCGTGTTCAACAAGAAACTGAACCATTTTCAGATTATTACACGAGGCAGCACAATGAAGCGGGGTCCTAATCACAAACTATGAAAATGTAGAAAACAAAAGATATTTATATTATTCTTACCACTTACCATCCATCATTATCAGCAAAATTAATATCACAACCAAATTCCACCAAGAATTGTACACAATCATAATTACTCGCACATACAGCATTGTGCAACGCCGTTAAACCTTCATCATTTGGTTGACTAGCATTCTCAACCTAAGAATCAGATAAAAATTGACTTAATACGTATAAAATTCGTTTCAAACTAAAGAAACGTGGATATTACTTCTTTAGCTGCTTTCATAACCAAATCTAATTCTCCCACAACTGCTGCATCTAATAATAATGCTAGTGGATCAAACATAACTCGTCGTGATAAATTTTTTGGTGTCTGTGGTGTTTTTAGTAACGATTTTAGATTTTGAATTGCAGTTGTTGTCGTTGTCAACGTAGTTAGAGATGTTGAAGCGGATATTGGAGGTGAAGACTGAACGGACGATGAAGAACTCGATAAGGAACCATTTTCATGTAACGCTATATTATTTTCCGTGATGGTTACTGTATCTTCGTGTAGATTTGTTTGAATTTCATTTAAATTTTCATAGCAGCGTTGCTGTTTCGATGACTCAGTTGTTGGAGAAATTTTTGTATCCGTCAACGTTGTTGTTGAAGATGAATCATCGCGAACATGAATTAGTGACGATGATTGGTTCTGATGTTGTTGATCAGATGGAACTAAAAATAAATGGGAATATAATTAGAAAAAGAGTTAACGCATCTGAGTGTAACGGACACATTTAACAAGAATCATTCTTAGTATTTGGCATCTTTCTTTACAGAGCTGAACTAATTTTCATCACGTAAAAGTATTTAATCACGTCATTCTTTTTTCCTCTTACCTAAATATTTGATTAGTGAATAAGGTGTGTATGTGTTTGGTGATTGTTCTGTTTCCGTTATTGAATGACGTTTCTTGACTGTATTTGTTACGTTAAAATGAACTGATAAAATATCATCATTCAGACGTAGACCAAGCGGTAATGCGCCCGATCCGGAATCACTTGTGTCTAATAATGCAGCCGCATCTTTTGATGACGAGGTGATGACAGGAAGTGCTGAAGGCAAAGGCGGTGGTTGTTGAAGAGTGGGAGATGGCGTCGAAGATTGATCGTTTGTTATTGGAGATTGTAAATGAAATGACGAACTAGGAACAGATGGAGCAGAACGAGCCATATACGTGGCAGCTATTTCACTTTTGGATGCGAAGGCGATTTTTGGATGTGTTGAAGGCTTAAATAAAGTAGAAAAAAAAAGATAAAAACAATTGAAATAACGTAAAGAACGATAATAAACACGAATGGCAAACCAATAGTCCAAAACAAACAGTTTGAGACTAATGGAATACCTGACAAACACAAGTCCTTAATTTAAGTTTTCCTCCCAGTACACATACTTTTTGTTGCTGTTTATTTGGACTATTGTTAGTTGGTGATGATGTAGAGTTATTTAGTTGTTGCTGTCTGTAAACAGGTGATGATAACTGTTCTGTTGTGTTTGTTGAATTTCCATTCATTGTATTAAATGAATTGGCTAATTGTACCATGCGTTTTTCAATTTCAGCTATTTTCAAATTATTTAATGTCTCATGAACAGTATCATAAGCACAACGATAGCCGGCAGATTGTTGCGAGGTTGGTGATGATTTATAAGGTTCAACAATGGCAGTATTTGCCGGATATGTTCGTTGTTGGCCATTTTGTTGCTGTGCCGCACGCTGATGAATACCACTCGAGGATAAATCTTGTGTATTTGCAGCTAATGTTCGTTTTTTTTTCAATCGTACTTGTAGATCATCAATTCGTCGATCTAAACTTGATACTTCCACTTGTTTTTGTGAATATAAATCACGTTGATAAGCAATTTTACGACTTTGTTGTTCGTTTAATTTATTGCGAATCTAAACAGCCAAAAGTCTTTGTAAAAGAGAGTAAAATAGTCTTAAGCAACACACTCTACTATATTCTCAATGTAAAGATCAACATGTCAATCTACAGATTCCATAAATACTATAATAACGTTTATCTCTAATTAGGTCCTATGAATACGTTTAGAAATTGTGTAGAAATGTACCTCACGCTTCGCTAGTGATAACCGTCGATAAAAGGTCATCTTAAATATCTTGACTGTACACTCTTCAACAATAGAATGTCTAGATCAGTAGCGAGAACACAGCTAGCAAAAATAAGCTCATGCTTTACATATTAGTGCCTTGTAACTTCAAGCACAATTTTTTACATTCTGCTTACGCAGATATGCATATATAGTTAGTACCATTAATTCTTGTTTAAGCTTTTCCAATTCATTTCTTGAATGTGATTGTTCTTTCGTCGTGTTCATTTTCATTTTTCTCAGTTGATCTAATTGTTTCGTTAATTCGTCTACTTTGGATACTGCCTGAGTTAATTCGTGCTCTTTTTCACTAAAAATCGATTTTAATATTTCTAATTCGGTTGCTAAAAACAACATAACAATAACAAAATTGATGATGGTAACAAACTATTTTAGCAAATCTTTGTTTTTTGTTACTTCTCCTCACCAAGAGTTGAATTCGAATTTCTTTGTTCATTAATTTGTGTTTTTAATTGTTTCAATCTCAAATGTTTCAGCTCTTGCTGTTCAACATGTTCTTTGAGACGTTTTAATCGTTGTGATTCATGTGTAAATTGTTGCTGTTTAACTTCTTGTTGTTTTAAATATTTTAATCGTTGTTCTTTGGCCAATAATAATTGCTGATTTGTTTCAATTTGTTGCTGTTGACGTTGAGCCATTTCTTGTAATTCAGATAACGTTAAATCAACACCAAAACCCGGAAACTAAGATATATGACAAGAAAAAACAAATTAAAGTTAAATTGTTAGATGCAGCAATTCTGCAACGGAAATTACTGTTATACTATTCAGAATATGAAGAATGCGTAATATCTCACGAAAATAGTGTATAATAATGCTTTAAATGCTGGTGATTATTTTAGAGATGGTCAAACAAATTTCTGCTTCGATACTTTTGATAAAATCAAATCATAATCCTCATACGAAAAACATCCTAATGTTCGAGATTATCGCATTTTAATGTTGCTAGTATTACTTATTGGACACTTTTTGCTAGAAGGTCATCAACATCAGAATATTCTTTTCACAAAATACTATGAAGTAATCATTTGTATTTATAAAATTAGTGGAAAAATTTCGCATTATTATCAACCGCAATGACGCATAGATGTTTATTTGCTTAAAGAAATAATTACATAAAGAGTATTGCTTATTTTATTCGTCATCTTAACGGATGTACTACGTTTTCCCTCTCTTCTCCACTTTGACGGAAATATTCTGTAGTATCTTTGAGAAAAACAGATTTCATTATTAGTTTTAAAGTCTAGACAGATTGCAAAGCTGTTCTTCTCGTTTTTAATGTTACTTCCAACGTAACGATATTACAACAGTTTGATTAATGAGTCTGATTTTTATGCTTTTTATGCATATACAATACTAGAACGAAGGAATATGTATGATCTATATGTATATAAGTTCGATACTTGGCATACGTTTTAATACGATTAACTATGAGGAATATTAGTATTCTTTCTGATAATAGATTTAAAATTTGAATTCTTAATAGCTTAACATAACAAATTTTTAAAAAAAAACAGTTTAACATTTCTTTTGACATCTAGTACTACTTACATTTCCATTTTGCTGTTGTGTTGTTGACATTACTGTTTTATTATTATTGTTACTATTATTTTCATTTATTGGTGAACGCATTCTTTGTTGTTGTTGTATAGGTGTTGGAGATGATAAATGGTGAGGAGATCTCGTTTCTATATATAAACATAGAAATATGTGTATATGTATGCCCTACGTTTTGTACACTTACACACCTACTTCTGTTCTTTTTTTTTCCATTCTCGTTTATGGGGTCAAAGAAGAAGAAAGAAAAAGAGGTCAGATATACCCATGTAGGTAAAAATAAAAAAAGAATTGTTCAATTTATTCATTATAGACTACTGTGTGTATGTCACGGACGAGAGAAAAAGAGAACAGAACTAAACGTTATTACTCTAGAGGATATGTACGTGATCGATTTTCTTCAAGAAATCAACGGATTACGTACGCATAAGTATACTACAACCAAAAGAAATAGATCATTCATAATAAAAGAAAAAACGTATCAACAACGACATTAATTTAGAAATGATAAGGAATACGTTCATCTCTAACAGAACGACAGTCATCCGTAGGGAAATTTTTTGATACATCCATACTGTCCCAGTACATGGGGTTGGATGATGATTGCTTTTTCACAAGTGATCACCTGCGATGCACATTTGTACTAGTAGACACTAGTGGAAAGCTCACTTATAACCACACCTAAGCACTAGTTGAGAGAGCTTCCAGGACTTGCGTAAAAAATAGTGACTGCATAATAAAATATTAAAACCTCTCTTTAATATATATTTACAATGGCGGCGTAATAGAGCTCCGCGTAAGATGGAATAAAACGAAATTTTTGTCCGATCTATGTTGTCCGATCCCATACTATGGAATTCTATAAAAAAATTTCTTTATATCTTTTCTACACAACCCATTTCTTTCAAGCGCACATACTGAGCACCCACCGAAACCTTTACTATTTGCAACGCGAAGAAAAGGTAAAATGCTGCACATCAAAATTTTTTCATGGTAATAAAGGTAAGTACACCTGCTCATTGATATGGAACAAAACGAAGTAAGTTTAAAAGCAAACTAAAAAGGATCGTCCGGAGGGATATCATGGAAAAAATTTCATCGCTTCTCATCTCATTAGGAGCCCTGATACGCCAATTGGCAATTCAAAACAATGAATTTTAGTACGTTTTGTTTATTTATGCTGTTGTAGTTTAAATGGGCTGCGCAATTACATATCCAAGTATACTTCAAGGACAGGATATTTCAATTTACAGAAACAAAGGGTATTTATAAAATACGCTAACACCTAAAACAACGTCAATCTCTGTCTAATTTTATAATTTAGTAAATATAAACGTAAATAATGTTCGATGTTAGTATAACTAAGTCGTCAAATACTATATACTGGTTTTACTAGATTTTAATGCTAGATTACTAGTAGATGTTAGCGTATTTTACAAATATCTCAGAAACAAATACCGTGTTTAAACGGATAACACTTAATTATTTACTCCTAGACGCATCTGTACAGCTCAATGTTGAAACAAAGTTTTAACCTTCGTTTTCGACTAACAATTACTCAGTAACAACAGTCAGCTTTTTTGCATATCATACTATTGAATCTCACCGTGTGAGGATTCTAATTCTCGTACTGAACTATACGTAACTGAAAAAGGTCCCAAAATGAGATATCATACCAGTAGGTTTTTTGACGACAATTTTGAATTCTTCAAATGCTTGGTTTCTTGATATTAAATCGAATATACATTCATTCGGAAGGATTTCACGCTCTACAGTAAAGAAAACAAATTTTATCGTAAACAAAGGCATCAAAAACATTTTGCCACTTACCAAAACCGAGACATACTTCAAATAATTTATATTTTTGATTTTGTACATATTGTGTTAGAATTTGTTGGCAAGTTGATTGTTCATTGATACGAATTATTTGTGGTTGAAAACGATTTTGATCGCGTAAATGATAAAGACATACTTGAAGCTAAGGAAGAAATATTACACAAACCAAATTTTTTAAAACGATTTTAAATTAGGACAAATATTCATTTTACCTCCCCATTACTCATAACGAATTATCATTGCACAATGAAATTCAAAGAAAAAAAGACAAAACGAATATAATATAATTGTACAAATCTAAAATAGACCTATGAGACATTTGAACAGAACTCACACGTAGTTTTGTAATAATACAAAACAAGAAACTATGAATCTGAACAAACTTTTTGATAAAAAATAAACCTTTTTTCCCAAAAATTTGCTTCTGAATTAAATTACGTGCTAAATTTTTTCTGCACATTCCGAAAAGATGCATACAGCAGTGCAATATTTATCATAAGTTGATGAAATAGGTTGAATTAATGACTTTCTTCGAATATATCAACGTACACTTCCCGTGCACACATGCTATTTCGAAACCTTGAGAGAATCAAAGGACAGATTGTTTTTGATAATTTTGATTTGACTATTATTGCTTTTGTTTGCAATTTACAAACTGTAATTTTATACGCACATAGAATGCTTGAACAACTTTGTTCTCTTGACATGAACGAGATGGATAAAGATAAGATGTTTAATCAAGAAACGGACGATATTATTGTTACTTCATTCTCATCAAAAATAAATAAAATAAAATAAATAAACAAATCGTTACTTTTCAACAGCAAATCAAAAAACGTTTGTGAGTCCTTATCACTGATTAAAATCTGTTTTCATCAAAAGAACTAGTATGACCGTATCTCACAAAATTAACTGCAGTTTCCATTTTTATGAACAAAACGCGCCATAGCTGATAAAACGAAACAATATAATTATATAACAGCGGCATCTTTATCAAAGGTATCGTGTAATAGACGATCCATAGATGGCGATGATGTTTCGTCAGAAGTTCAAGGAATTCAGGTCATTTTCAATTCAAGGAAAAACAAATATTAGTTTCCTGTGGATATCCTTTTCGCCATTCTATTATCGATTTCAAAAAAGAAAAAAGATTCTGCCATCCATATATTTGGTCGATTTTCCGTGTTTTTCCATAGGTGTTTCCGTTCTCACTTTTCATTGCGAAGTCACTAAATGGGGTCAACAAAAAACTGGAATCGAATTTTGACATCACCATTAGATTCATCAAGAAAAGGTCTTCAAAATGAGTGGTCACCCAAATTTTTCACACCGATCTTTCCTATACCCATAGGGGCCCCAGGGGGCAGGGTAATGAGAAAAAACGGCCCCTTGTTTTTTTTGTCAATCGGGACGAATTTTTCCTGTAGGTTTTCGACTATGATTCGATGTGCCTTGGAAAGCGCTACAATGTTTGTTAATAAGACACTTAACGAAGCTTGGTGGCGGCCATTATGGATCAAACACTAGATTTTTTCATAGGTCGCCGCTATGCTACTCGAACTGACCATCACCTTTCTCTATGAAACTAAAGAGGATCTCTAATCATTCATACATCATTCGATGCGCCTTGCAAGTCTCTGCAAGATATGTTAATAGGAAACTTAACAAAGCCTGGCAGCAGTGTTTGGGTATTAAATACCGCGCCGCTACGAATGGCTCCAAAAAATGCTCACCACCTTTATTTTTGATTTTTCTCGTGGACCATACAAGTTAGAACAAATTTGAAAAAAGATTTGAACAGCTGATAGAATCCGGAATTTGCTGTGCTGTTTAAAAGTGCTCTATAATAGCTCTTTAAACCAGGATCTCCGGAAAACCAACACCCGGAGTTCAATCTAAAAATTCGTTGCAAAAGCTGAAAATGAGACGTCTCCGAGCCCTTTACACCACGTTTTAGTGAATCAGCATTCAATGTACGGAAGGCCCTACGCTTGTTTTCCCGTTAGTTTTGCTGGTATGGCACGGTCCGTAAATTCAATGCTGATTCACTAAAACGTGCTGTAAAGAGCTCGGAGACGTCTCGTTTTCTTCAGAAAGGTTTGCTCTACATAATGGAGCTTTTGAAACGATTTTTTAGATTGAACTCTGGGTGTTGGTCTGAGATTTTGATTTTGTGGGTATAGGAAAGGTCGGTGTGAAACATTCGGGTGACCACTCATTTTGAAGATCTTTTCATGACGAATCTAATGGTGATGTCAAAATTCGATTCCAGTTTTTTGTTGACCCCATTTAGTGACTTCGCAATGAAAAGTGAGAACGGAAACACCTATGGAAAAACACGGAAAATCGACCAAATATATGGATGGATAGCAGAAGCTCTGAGCTTTCTAACGGTACCAACCGTTTGTGTTCATCGCATACTAATCAAAAGTTATTCAAGAAATAATTATCCTTTTTCTTTTTTGAAATTGATAATAGTCGAAAACTTCTCTCAATTCGTGAAAATGGTTTTCACCAAAAATAGAAGAATCTTTTGGATTATCGACAACGCTCAGTGCATTCCAAAATGCACCCTTTATTGCGGTTCTGAAGGACCATATTTTACTGCGGGTGATATCCAATAAGAATTGACACGGATTCATTGAAATAGTGAAAGAAAACTACAAATCGATCAATAATAACAGATAAAATGATATCTTGCAGCTAATCAGAGTGTCCCTTTTTTTACTGAGAAATTGACTTTACTGAACTTTTCTGATTGGGTGATACAAAAATTTACGATCTCTTGACTCAGAAACTCAGTTCAGTTCAGTTTCTCAGTTAAAAAACCGCTAATCATCTTGACAACCGCTAATCATCTTGTTACTACTGGGAAAGTACTCGTGTCTATCTCCTATATACTAGGCATCTAGCAAAATTGGAGATATCTCTTCTCGCACATGCACGACGTACATCTTCAAGATATCTATCAACGATAGATATTCTCTTTTTCTCGTTTGCCGTGTGAAGAAAGACGAAAAGTCAGTGCAGCGTTGTTTTCATTCACCATTTTATTCTTTGAGCACTTTCTTAAACTTCTTTTTTCTGTCTCGTTCCTTTACGTCACATATATCGCAATGTTTGTACACGCATATCTTGTGCTAGAAGAGATATCTCCAATTTTGCTAGATGGCTATTATATAAAGGGAGATAATACTTCTTTTGGTAGAAATAACAGATAATGTATTTAAATAATAATGAAATTTATATCTGATCACATAAGTAAATTCCCCATTTCTTTACTGTTGGTCTATCGACACTCTTTGTTATTATTAATCTAACAGCTGTTAGAGTATATGGCTGTGTCCACAGATCAATTTTTTTATTTCCAATACTTGTACCATTTGCCACTAAAGTCCATGCTGCACCATTCACTTGTTTAATATCTATTCGATATTCTCGTATTAACTGGCCTAGGATTTGTTCTTCTTGTAAAACATTTCGATCAGCACTTACAGGAAAGTTAAAATATTGAAAATAAGTGTTTTTCGATGCTTTAGAAGCGGAAAAGGGCACCGGTAGGCCATAACATGAGCGAATATAATCACCCAATTGTTTATATCGTGCAGCATAAGAAGCTAAACAGAAATCGAGCATTAATGGAAGCTGCTGCGGTACCAGATGCTGTCAATACCTGGAATTAGTCCATTGCGATCGGGTGTTAAATCTAACATTAGCATACAATTTCTACCAACTGTTTTATGATAGACTTCAACTAATTCTGTTAATGATCGCAAACTTACATTCTGACCCCAGAACCAACGATCATTTACTTGTAATGTGGTATCGCACTCAGCTGGACAAAAATATGGACTTGAAGGATCACCACCGTCATTTGTTATTCCCGTGCTCCATGTTGGATCAGGAGCAGTGCCTAAATTCGGGTGATTAAATATCAAAATATTTCTGACCTGTTGAAGTATATTCGCATACCAAGTTCGGTACCTATCCATCGGATAGGATTCGGTGTAAGCCCATAACCGTTGAATATATTTGAATGTGGCTGCAGATTTTGAAGTAACTGTGTTATATTTTCTTGCAATTCTTCCGTATAGCCTCCGTCAAACCAAATCTCATCTAAATTACCATAATTAGTCCATAAGGCTTCTAATTGTTTCAATACTATTGTATTGTACGTCGGTTGAGTTATATTCAATTGACCAATAGACAATGTATCATTCTCAACAACCTATAGCAAAAAACTTTTTAATTTACTTTTTTCATTAAAGCTTATTATAATACAGAACCCACTTTTCCATTTTGAATATTCAAATAATTATTGTTCACTACACTGTAATAGAATCCTGTTTTAATCTCTTTTTTTGTACAACTTTGTATAAATTCTTGCAAGATATCCACACCTTTCACAGGACTGTAATCGACTGTATAATTGTAGGGGACCATTTCGCCTGTTGCTAATGGAAATTGAATATCAGATGGTGATAGAAGGAAACCACATGCATGCTAAAGAAAGAAGAGATAAATCGAACAAAGAAAATTAATTAAGCGTTCAGTAAACACTTACTTTTGCCACAAGAACAGCATATTTAGCACCCAGATTAGTCATCGTTTGTACCCAGTTATCAGTGTTGAGCAGTATAGGCTTAAACAACGTAACAGGAGGAACTAGTTTACGATCTCCACAGCCATCACTATCTATATATGTGGCCAAATTAAAATGAATTAGTACACCTAAATTGATAAATTAAATAGTCGCTTTTATTAAGATAAACTGAACTATCTTCTCCTACCAATCTCTTGTTGTTGCCATTGTAATTGATCTTGCGTTGGTATAGCAATTGTAATCCCTGTTTTTGATGATACACGAGTTTTGGGTTTTATTAATTTTTGTGAATAGTTATTACTAAGATGTAATTGACTCTTTAAATCATAGGCATTTACATTTAATAGAGATGTAAATGAGACAAGAAGAATGAGTATGAACTTCATAATGCTAAATCATAAAAAAGTTCAGAATATTTCGTATAGTTAGTAAATTAAAAACAAACTAACTGTACATACATATTGATTTCTGTTCAAAATTTTTGACTTTTCTTTCACCGTTTCACGTCCGACAAAACGTTTGTTATTTGCCATAAAAGATAGGTGTTATCAGTCCTATAATATGAAATATACCTGGCTAACTTTTTTTGTCGTCTACAATCGTAAGTAGAAAGAAAAAATGACGTCGAACAATTAAACACATTTTTTACTTCCTCTTGTTATGTGAGAACGCAAGAATAAAACCTACTATACATATTTACCGTTTTTGGAAATAATAGACGTCTGAGAGTTTAGTGTCAATTCAAGGTGGAATGAGAGTTTTTAAGAAATACATTGGCTAGATTGAAAAGCAAAATAAATATTCAAAAGACTTCATACTTTATTTAAATTTTTCGACTTCAATTGTCTCAGTACTCGACAAATAAGAATGCGTATCACATTGCCATTATAAATGCATCATTAGTATCCATATGAACATACGTGATCACTAATTTCACAAAAATGATTTTTAGTCGGGTTTACTAATTGATACATGCAACTATTATGGGGTAATAAGTGTTTCCCCTATGACTTGATATTAAGGAAATCAGACAGGTGACAAAACACACTGTGACAGTATTTTTCACGATTTTGCTCTTTCACATTTTTTGTTTTGTGATTTTCCCTTTCGGAATTTTTCATTTGAAGTTTTGTTTTTTGACGTTCTTCACATATGTACCTTGAAATTAAAGAGTACAAAAACATATTAAACGTTACGAACACTATTTATCAGCTGCGCCGCCGATCGTCACAGATATTTTACACGCTGGCACCCATTTAATCTATTTTATTATATCTTACCGAATAAATCATTCTAATTTAAAAATGCATAACTGGTGTTTACCTTGACGCAAGATTATTGCAAAGTGGTTATTATTTACGTTAAGTGCCGATAATTTACGTACTAACTGCACAGCGTATGAAATCACATAATAGAGTCAAAACATCAACACACACATACAATCCTCGCTGCTTTGTTCTCAAGAGAAAAACAAACAAACTCAGACGAAAAAAATTCTTCCCTTTTATTAAATCACATAAAATTAAAAAAATACAATTTTTTAATATGATGTGTATCTATAGGCTTCAAAACACATACAAGCATGGCATATAAACGTAAAAAAAGTACATGAGTGAAAACAGTTGATTGTTTATTACGCCCCACCCCTCACAACGAAAAAATCATTTCTAGAGAGTTATTGAAAGAAAATGCATTCTTTTTTTTTCAAAAAAGAATTTACTTAAAAGAACAACTATTGCACTCAAAAGTCGATCCATTACTTATTAGCGAATTATACTAATCAGCTACACAAGTCTTAATATTTCAAAGATGTTATTTAGAAACAAACGTTAAAAAGTAAAACGCAAATTTTTAAACTTGTAAGTGATCATTGATTTTCAGTGAGAATGATAATTGCAAAATTGAGTAAAAGTCTTTTTTTTTGAAGATCACAAAATGTAGTTAAACAAATAAAGTAAACTTACTATTTCAATAGAAAATTGTACCATTATAAGTATGTTTGTACCCAATTAATAACTAGGATGCAATTGTGTTGTTCACAAGTTGCGATGTCGACAGACACTGGTTATATTGACAGAGACACTGAGATCATTAAAAAATTGAAAAACTTTATTCTTCTCGATGATTTATAGTAGTAATAAAGTTTTAATTATTATTTAAAAGAACTTAGTATATCTTTCATTAGATGCATGTATGCGAAAGAAAAAACACTAATTAGAAGATATGTACACAAATTCATTTCTCAATTCTGTCAACAAAAAAAAAATGGCGCCGGGCAAGTAGACATATATTAAAAATTTCGAAGTGTAAGATACATTTTTCTTCCACGTGTGAGACTCATCGCGCTGGATCTGGACTTTTGTTTAAAAGAACGTGAAATGGTCCATATTCAATGCCTAGAGAGCTATCTTCCGTTTTCAGAATGTCTCTTACATTACGTAGTTCTCCGGGACTCGCTTTTTGCAAAAACGATGACTAAACACGAAAAAAAAGTAGATTGTAATTGCGCTGCGCACAAGTTGCGATGTCGACAGATTCTGTCTCTGACTGAACCTACTGCTTCAAGCAGATTCTATCGGTGGGCTCTGAGCATTACATTTTCTCTGATTTATTCTTTGAACTACTTATACGATATAAAAGAACAATGAAGAAAATTTGAAAAAGAGAGACTCTTTGACTAAATGGCGTTGGACAAAAAATAACAATAATAATCTAAGTCTAACAGCCATTTTTTTGCTCACTTATGAAGCTTATACCGCCAAGTTTGGATCTTTAATTGAGTAAAGCACGTGCAATGGCCAATTTTCAGTTTCCGTAGAACAGTTCCCTTTTTCAAAATTTCTCTACGATGAGTAGTTTGCTGGATCCTGGTGTTCTCTTTTCGCAAAAATAGGTCGTAAAGAAAAAGAAAAATTCTCAGCATAAATGTTAAATATCTGTTGATATAAAAATGACGAATTGCTACTATTGTTAAAACTCATATATTAGAAGCTTGGATTTATAACTTTTCGAATTGTTATAGAAAACGACTTAAATATATCACACATTTTGCCTAGTTATCATCCATCATGTTTAGTATAATCCCTCATTACAAAATTAAGGACTTTCTTTCTAATCAATTAATATTCAACATGTAGAATCTCACATATGTGTTTCGATTTTTCGACTAGTACTGAATGAAAATTTCAATGAGATTAACTGATGTATCCAGGATATTTAGCTCTTAAATTTTACTACTAAGGGAATATGAGGAATGTCATTTGTTTTTTCGGAATAAAATTCTATTAGCCTACTCTTTTTGTTGAATTCAACATACTTTCGTTTAATATCTGTTTAAAATTTGAATTACTAATATCCTTCTCTTCCTATCGTTGTATCGTAACGATCTCGTACACATTTAAAACAAATCAGAATGTTAGATGCTTTTTATTCGCAGTTTTTCGATTTTTTTGTTATAACATTTTGTTCTATTTTTCATCACTACACTTTTCTCTTTTTTCCAGAATAACAAAATTATTTAGTGAATGCCTTTCAAATTTCCATTTTCTTGTTAATGGGCTGTAACTCTGGTAAAGATCAAATGACTGTCGCACCATTAACAACCGGTGAATCTAACTTGAACTCGCCATCGTCTTTCATTGTTTCGGTACCATCATCTACATCTCTCAATAATTCTCAACAACCAAATGATGAAAGTACTCCAGTTATAGTGTCAAAAAGTGTGCTTAAAAGAGATAACAGTTCGAATGATAATCAATTAATGAAAAATTCAAAAAAATCAAATATTAAAATAGATTTTCTCAAAATTCCAAAGAAAAAAAGACATGTAAAAAGTGTTATTTTTAATGAACAAGTTAGAGTTAAATCTCGAACTCCAACACCAAAGAAAACATGGTACGAGAAGGGAGACGACGATGAGTTATCAAATATTTCATCAGAAAGTGATGGTGATGAAGAAATGGATGATTATGAGCAACAACAAGAAACAGAATCTGGTGTAATATATCATCGACCAGTGAATGGTAACTATTCGATGAATTCTACTCCAACAGCAGCCACACCATGGTATAGATATTCTGATCCAACTTCATCTTATCCTTTATCAGAAGATATGAACGATGATACATCTGCATCACCTTACAGAACTACATATTTAAACGACAGCGTTCCTAAAACAGGAAACTTAAATAATGGAATGAATCCAATTCCAGTAACAGGAAATCATTTGAAAGTCAGTTCTAAACCACATCACTCACCATTTTCTACGCAACATTCATTACCTAATACAAACGCGGTACTTGTCGAACATCGAGCATCCAAATCTACCACACCATATTATGCATTCACGAGACGGACAGTATCAGATGCGCAATAGATTAAAGTTGTGTTTTTATTGTAAATTAAAACTGCATTTATTTTATGAAACGTTTTCACTTTATACGTAAAAATCAAGTCGTTTTGCAGACTAAACACTAGGCATGCACCGGTTATAACCGATGAATTTCTCCTTTTTTCTGAAATGGATTGCATGAAATTATGCATATTAAAATTTTTCTAACTATCGGGTTTTGTAGAGCAAATATATTTCTACAAGCTGAGCTATGGCCGAAACCTTCATGATTTCTATTTTTCCCGCAATCGCTTCTCAACGAAGAACCCTAAATCGGTTATAAACGATCATGGGACTTTTAAGAAATCTTTTTTTATATAAGTACTGGATGAAGACGAATGACACTTCTATAGCTCATCCTGTAGAAAAATGTTTGCTCTACAAAATCCATTTGTTAGAAAAATTTTAGAGAGTCAATTTTCGTTGAGAAAAAGTGCACAAATTGAGGTGTCAGCCGATTACTTTATCAGCGGCGAAAACTCAAAAAAAAAAATCGCCCTTTGGCGATGGCATAAAACTTTTTAAGAAGAGTTATCATACTGGGAAGAGTTCTTCTCTAAGAAGTCTCAGAATGTGTTACGGTAAGGTAGGAACATTTCAATATCTAGTGTTTAATTCATGCGGTAAAGCAAACTAAATAATTTTCCTAACAACTGATCACCATACTGATGAGATAGAGGAGTAGACTGCAGAATGGTGGTAAAAGAAGACGAGAAAAGAACGAAACAGCGTTCATCAATGCTTCGTATAATCAGAAATATATGTAGAGATCTAAACGATTATTTTCTGGGTAAAGAATTAAAAATACAGCATTGTATGGCAGAATTGATCCAAACATTTTTCTTCTATTCTTAATCAGCTTTTCAGCAAAAAACATCACATAGTATCCCTTTTAATCACCACCATTATTCAATTCACTTACAGCGGGACTGTCTTTCAACTCAAACTTTTGTTTCTCATTGAATAAGGTATATTGAGTTTTTTCGTCGCTACATTTCCAAATGAACATAGATGGGTCTTTTTCCAAAAGAAAACTGCAATATTGAATAATCGTAACAAAAAAAAAAAAAAAGAAAAAAAAAAAACAATATTTGAACTAAAACATAAGGCGGCTATTGTCACTGTTTTTCGAAACACCACAACATTAATGTACATAAAAGAAAAACATTCTTGTCTAAGACAGAGGAGTGACAACAATTAAAAATTAGGATTAAAATAACTTTCATCGAAAAGGACAATGTTAATTTCTATATGAACAACATTCAATAGAGGAGAATGGAAAAAAGGTCAAATAACATTGTCAAAAGAACCAGAGGATTTCCTTTAAGGCTGTTGCTGATGATCCATGCATGATTTTATTTTAATATTAATATGTCGTAGAGAAAGCGAAAATTCATGATTACTAAATGAATTCTGATACTATTTTTTCACACTATTTGACATTTGCTTTGAATATTATCCATTAATACATATTTAATGTCTTCGCATTCCACCTCTACCATTAATTCCATATCCAAGAAATCTTCGTGGTGGTTGTTGAAAAGAGGATAGGGATGTTGCTGCTGTTTGACCTGTTTCATTTAATTCACGAATTGTAACTGTAACATTATTGTCATCCGTCACTTCTGTTATTGTTGTTGTAGTTCTAGTAATATTCGAGGATGAAGGAGGAGTAGTGAGTGATTCTTGAGGTTTATTTTGCCATAATAAATTTTGTAATGAACTATCTTCATCTAGTAAAGTAATTGAATCATCATCTTTACTCTTTTTCTCTTCTTCTGTTTCCATATCTTCATTTTGTTCTTGTTGTTGTTCTTCTTCTTCATGAGTGCGTTGTTGATTTAGTGCATACTGCTGTGTTCGAATTGGTCGTAAACCGTAGGCAGCAGCTCGATTTAAACGTTTTAAGTCATAATCGACTGATGAGTGTTGTACATCTGTGGTTGATTCAAGATTATCTACTGGAAATTTTTTTATTTGAACTCTACTACCCTCAGCTCCTGTTGATAAAGATGAGGATGAACTACGTATTCGACGTGTAACACTTCTGGTTGAAGACGAGGAAGTTTTGGGTGAACCACGTTTACTGAGCACTGTGGCTTTCCGCGACAATGAATTTCTTGTTGTTCCAATACTTGGCTTTTTATCTTTCTGACGCTGTTTTCGTCTAAAATAAATAAGTAAATAACGTAGTTTAGTTTAAACCAAAATCAGTAAAGGTTTAGCAGAAACAATATGAAAGACATATTTACGACTTAAAATTCAAGTTTTTTACATCAGTGTTAATCCTATTGTTTCCTAATTGTACAACGCACACTACGGTACACTATTTGCGTTCCTATGAGAAATCTTCTCTATGACTAAAGCCGCATAACGAACCGTAAATTTTAAGTTGGTAAGTGTAATAACGCTATAGAACTGTGAAAGATACGACGATTGTACCAGAATTATTGACAAACTGTTTATAACCTGAAATTTTTGTGAACTGATGCAGACAAAATGAACAGGACGATATCTGGGATACACAACTCGTTTCGGGATGATTTACAAGTTTGATTAACGGTATGTTCTCTAGGAGAAGTAATTCAGACTTTACTCTGATGAGAATTCTCTTCATTTGTTTTTATGTAGCAAATACATGACAAATGTGAGCGAATAGCTAATTTACTTTGCATATTGATGTTTAACAATTTATCTAAAATATGAAAAAAATACCATCCCTACCTCTCACTGAAATCATCAATTAATCCTTTGTCTATAATATGTTTTTCTGGCTCCCATGTATTCCATCTAAATAACAAAAAGTAAAAATATTTACTATTTATCAGTCTACAAATAAATAATATATTTTTTTTAGGACTTACTTTTTGCCCCATCCTTTCCATTTGAGAAAATATTGCGTTTCACCCTAAATAGAAAAAAAAATGTATACAATTAAATAAACATGAAAATGAAGGCAATTATTTATTTACATTTTTAATACGTTTAGCAACAACTCGTTCCGCAGTATAAATCGGTGCTTCTTTTTCATCTGGCATCGTTGGTATTTATTACTAATCTGAAAATATTAAAAAAACCTATGTATTTTTACATAAAAAAACATCACTGTCACAAGTGTCAAAAAAATGTGTTATCCCACTGGATATTATACTATATTACATATTAATAACAGACGTATATAACTAACCTACTCATGCAGAAAAACGGTACCATCAGACTTATCCTAATGGTGGAAACAGAGTGTACATTCAATTGTTTTATGGACATTTATTATTAAAAACACAGAGATGAATATCATCTATACATCATATCCATATGAAATTAGTAATAATATAACATTTATTTATTCATCACAAATGAGAGATTTACCAAATACTTTCGATTTGTAGTGAGCGCGATGATCTTTGTGAAAAATAAGAAAGATGATCTAACGGAAGTTCATGTTCCTTGAAATTCATATTAAGCTTCAAAGGTGATCCGTATCACATATCCAACTCAACACTGGTTTACTCATGACGCCATCCTTGACATCGTGACCGGATCATGTTGACTCTCTTATGTAGTTGCATATACGATAACAAATTTCGATGTCATGTCGCGATCTCAATGAATTCTTATTTAGAAAAATAAGACTTAAACGCGATAACTTCGTGAGCAAATTTTACCATTCAGGCATAAACACGCTATGGCATATGCATCTTCTTTATGATAAGGGCGCACTAATAGCAAATGAATTGAACTTTAATGCAATTATTCTTGCACGTGATCATCAAATGAGACTTATTTCATGATCATAACCGTAACTTTTTATTATGACTCATGGCGCACATAAGAAACTTGGCTTGCAAAACATTCATATACAATGTCAAGTTACAAACTTTATTTCGAAATAAACTGAAGTGCATATAACCACCATTTAGGAAGAAATATCAATTGGAATTATCCTCAATATTCAAGGAAAATCTATGCATGTAAAAGAATGTGCTTGCAGATAAATTTAGTCGAAGAAGAGACGGATGAACAAATCTGAATAGAAGCATCAGTTAAGGAACACAAAATAAAATAACTAACTAAAACTAAATAGAATAAATAAAATAACTAGAAAATTTCAAATTGAATTAATTAATTTTATTGGTATTTTATGGAGCGGGAAAACCGATATGATTGGCTAGGATTCCATCCATAAAAAATCAATCAGTGTCCTTCTGATGAGTTAGCAGGACTAAGGTCTCTGGGTGAACGTTTCAAGGCTATTAAAAATTTTTTGGTGGGGCAGCAATAAGAGGAAGTTTGTGCTCCTCCCAAACGTGGTGATATGAAAGTTGGTGCTCCCCATACGTATTTGGTGTCCCCTATGGTGAAAAAATTGAGTAAGATTCTCATTTGAGCCGTTTAATGTAAAAATGAAAGAACAAACAGTAAGAAAAATAAAAAGAAGTACAGAAAGCAAAAAAAAGGCGTAAAACGAAACGAAAAATTTTGACGTTTACCATTTCTCATTTAATTTCTAATCCACATTTCGGACATTCATGATTTTCACTTTCTAATACTAATTTTTGTTCAAGGACAAAACACGGACAGCTTGTTGCTGTTATTAAGAATCGAATAAAATTCACTGGAAGTTAGTTGGCATTGGGATAGTCATTTTGAAGTTCTGACTATTAACCAACATTCACATACCCCAGTGGACGATTCTTACATAAGAATCGAATGCAAAGAGTAACAGAAACTGATACGAATCTTATTATATGTAAGAAGTGAAACGAATGTCATAAGAATCATGAAAGAAGTTCATAAGAATTTGTCCGCTTTCTTATGTTGCTTTTATCAGATTCTTATCAATATCTTACTTGAATTTTATAAGATTCTTACCTTATTCTTCTAAGAAACACTGCACGTATTTCTGCTAGAATTTTGCCTTTTCTCTTTATATTATTGATATGTTCATTTTTGTTTTTCTATCCGCCGCGTTTTTGCCATCGGTTATTATTTATTTTACTATTTATAAAAAAATATTTGTTCTTGAACACAAAATATATATGCTTAGCATCGCATGCGATCATGAATCATGAGAGAAAAATTTAGAAAAATAGAAAAAAAGTATTTTCTGTAATACGAATAACTTTAATAAAATTGATTTAGCTCAGCTTAGAAGCCTTGCCGCAAGACTAAACTTTCAGGAAAATATCTTAGCATTCTGAGCTACAAATCGCGAGAATGTAAGAGAGAAATATTTTCTTCTAACAGAATTATGACTTTTTTTATTATCTGGCATGAGAGATATAAATTGCCTAACTTTTACGTAAAATTCAATTTTTCGACTTGGAGAGCATTCTTTTGCAAAAACTAAGATTATATTTGTAATCTGCGAATAAAACTGACGAGGGAAGGTCTCCAACTGTCCGATCGCTTTCGAGCCGAAACCTAGTGGACTATAGGTAGTCGACCATACTGATTCCGAATATCAACATGAGACGTGCTGCTAGGCCTCCAGAGAGTGGTTTTCTGGAAAACCAGTTTTTCAGAAACTCTAAAAAATAACCAAAACCTTTCTTAA